ATCATCCATCTGTTGCAGACTCGCCAGACCTTAAGTTTATCTCTTGTGTGACTCTACACTTCATTCGTGGGTAAAAGGAAAGACTCCAGGAGTAAAAACAAGGGGTGTGACTGATGGAGAGAGACAGTGAGAGACAGAAAGAGACCACTGAGACCCGCCGAGTGTCTCTCCCCCCTTTAATGCGAGTGGACAGAGAAGGTGTCAGACTGACTGATGTCGCAGTCAAGTCCATTTCATGTACTTCCCTCAAAGTTGTGAAGCTCAACATCTAACTAACAGGAACTTTGAAAGGAAAAGTGTTAACTGGCAATGCGAAAAGTTGGATGCAGTGCGCGATTGATTCTTTTTGGATGTTACTGTAGATCTCGAGTAATCTGTTGGCTGGAGTTTCCTATGATTCGGTTTTGACCAGTGACATATTGGACAATAGTGAGTGACTTCCTCATCCCAGAGAAAGCTGCAGCCAGCCATAATTGCTTTGGACTTTTGCTTTCCCAGCAGTAGCATTAATATGAAACGGATGGATTGCGTGATTTGTTCACGCCGGTAAAAAGATCTGCCGTGGCTCATTGTCGTCTGTTTTTTCCAGTTTTCCATCCGGCGCCCGGACGTTTGTTCTGTGTCCACATTAAAAATGTAGGACCGTTATGGTCTAAATTGAACGGCTTGCATCGTTGAATGGATTCAGTTCAAAACACACGGGTCAGGCAGATGCTTCCAGCAGCATAACAAAAGCTTAATTTAAAATAGAATAATTCATCGGCGGATGCATTGTCAAATCACTACCTGATTGTTGACAGAAGCCTGTGTGATGCTGGTCAAAGCTCAGCATGCGGTATTAGTTGTAATGGATCCATTATTACCACCTCTGTGTACGTGTGTGTGTGTGTGTGTGCGAGACAACCACACCAACCATTCGAATCTTAGATCTTTGTTAAATGAACAACAAATGGCTCCAGAGCTCCAGGAATAAATGAGAGGTGACCCAACTATTTTCATCTAGGAGCTCCGTCACTCTGGGCATCCTTACCTGACCTTGACCTGTAGTTAGAGAGCTGGACTTTGGTAGTGCAGCAGTCTTCGCAGAATTGATCTGGCTAAGTGGCCATTCTTCTTAATTAGCTGATGAATAGACTGGTTGAATGGGACGGACGCAGCATTGATTGACATTTAGAATGGGGCGATGGTCGGGCCCGGAAGAGCTTTTCCACTATTTACAACCAATCAAACTTCCCTCTGGTTTTCGTTTACAAGAGATACAAAGTGAAGGAAAACACAGAAGTGGAAAAAAGACTAGATGCGAGACGGACATCACAACATAAACAGATTCTAGACATTTTAAAGCCCTCTTTAAGCGATTGTCCTGACTCCCGGCAGGTTCTCTCCTCTCATCCGAGGCTTTTCCATCCATCTGACATAAAGTCTGCAAAGTCTGCAGACTTGCCCTTTTTCCACCTGATAGAAAATTATATTTTCAATATCAGACATGCGTACCGTGAAAGCTCATTGATTGCGATCTGCTTTTGTTCTCCAAACCGAAATAATACAATTAAATATTAAACTGATTTTGTGCCAGCAGGCAATGTTTTTGCGTCGATAAGCAAAAGAATGAATGACTATGCTTTGAATTCAGGGTTAAGGTACCCTTGAGATACTAAACAAAGCACAAATAATCAGTGAAGCACACTGGGGAGGGGGGTGGTATTGCTAAGGAGTATGAAGGCGAAGGAGAGGAAAAAAAGGGAGTGAAGACCGAAGAGAAAGACGTAGAAAGTCTGAGCAAAGGCCAAATGGAAAGGCGGAGTCACCAGAGCAGATGGTTTCAGCGATTCTGCCCAAGGCGCGCCGAACTCACGGAAACCCCTACAAGGAGGGGGAGCGAGATGAGTTGAAAACACTAACTACACATCTGCACTTCCTCTCCTCCGGTGCTTCAGAAGGGTAGAGCGAGACGTGTAGGCGCTTTGACAGGCATCACCGCCACTGCGCCACTTTCAGCATTCTCAGGCTTCAGGACGATCACAGTCGACACATGGCATCCATCTCGTCTCATGATACTTTGTACCAAATTCGCACCAGGTATCAGATATTCTCTTTGCTTTTCTGTCATGCAGATGTAGTGCAACTTTTAGACAGGCATATATATATTTTTTTTATAAATGTAGTTGTTCGAGGGGGAAACGCAAACAGAAACACAGCTGACCTGAAATCCTGCAGCTGAGCTTCAGCCCACGTCCCTTTTTAACCAAGAGCACACACGCACGCACAAACGTGTGCTGCCTGGCTAAATGAATGGTGAATGATGGATGAGTGTGAGGCTCGGCAGTGTTGCCATCTGTTCCGACACAAGACGGAGAGAGCGGAGGACTCGCGGTTCATTGAGCTTCCAGCCCATCACAGCGCTCCACTCACCTACTGTACACGCTCCACTGATACCTCGGTGGGTTTGTGTGCCACTGTGTGTGTGTGTGTGTGTGTGTGTGTGATAGGACACCTCTCAACCAACGCGACTCAGCAAGATGGTGATTATTTAAATTTTGGTCATAATTATGACTGCATAGCGGTACTCCGATCGCTGCGAAGTTGATCCAAAATCAATTTACGCTGTTTCTCTTTCTCATTGAAAATCCCTCATCGTCGCACTCCCACGGAGTCAATCTTCTCTGGCTCGGCCCGCCTGCGTCTCCTCACGCACGCGTGGCCCCTAACTGCCTCTCTCCGTCTCCATTACTGGTCCTGCCATTTTGTCTTTACACCTCTTATAGTCCCCCTTTTTGAACACAGTTGCCAATCGATTTTTTTTTCTTCTTCATATCTCCCTTTTTGCCGCTTTCTGGGAGTTTGGCGGACTGGTGAGAGGAAAGCGTGGTTCCCCCGCCCGCACCGCTGGAGAGGGAGGTGACCGAAACAACGAGCGGGACTGATGAAGAGAGACAATTGGATGCGACTGGATGTACAGCCAGTGCTGTTTCCAGTTCGCTACGTATTGTCCGACACGTTTCCAATCCCCCTCACAAGGAGACTTCACACACGCTATCACACTGTGACAAATGGTGTGAAACCCCCCCCCCCCCCCAACCCACACCCTCACAACCATTATCCAACAACCAACAAGACGAGACACAGCCTCGGAAAGTCACATGCTGCGCATCGCAGAGCCATTTTGTGTCCTCTCTTCGCTGTTTTAGTGTGTGTGTGTGTGTGTGTGAGTGTCACCTTCCCTCCTCCCGATGAGGGGTATCGTGGGGGTGTCATGCCCAAAAGCCTGCAGACAGCCTTGCCCTTTACAACAAGGTATCAGTGCTAATTAGACACTATGAGTGTGTCACCGGACTTAATTGTGTGTGTGTGTGTGTGTGTGTGTGTGTGTGTGTGTTTCACTGTGACCATCCATGCGTGGCTTTGTCGGCCTCTTACATTGGAACACAGGGGTGTGTTCGCTGCACTCATCAATGTTTCATTTTCAATGGGGCTTTCTAGATCTGATCTTTCCTGTTATGAGGCCACATCTCTGGGCGGCCACACGCGGCCTGAAAACGTCCGTTATTCCTCTTGCAGGGATGTCATTATTTAAATGGCTCCCCATGATACCTTTTCCGCTCTGCGGCTCGCTCTCCACACGACTGATATGGCCACTTACTGTCGTTTGGTTTTGACTTTGTTTTGGTCGCTCGGCTGCAGAGGGTGATCTGTTTTCATCGTCTGTTTAAAAAAGAAAAAGCAGTCAAGTTGCCTTGAAGAATCTGCAGTGTTGCAGAGAATCATTTATCGATAGTTTTTTGTTAATAAACATGACAAAGAGGGTCAGATCCTTGGCCAGCGTCCTGGGTTAGCGTGTTAGCATTAGTTACAATGCACATTTATTCTTTAGTTATTCATGCATGTTTGTATTTTTGCTCGATTTTATTCTGAAATTTGAGTCCTTGATCATTCCCTTTCACAAGAATTCTATTTGTGAATAAAGTTGTAGCTTGCCTTATCACCAAAGAGATTAATAAATCACCATGGAGGTGAATAAATATATTTGCCAACTGTCTTGTTAAGGCATTCAACTTCAGAGTCAGGGTTTACCAAGGTCATCGCTTCCATCCTCCGGCAGGAATGTCGTTTTAAGGCAATCCAAAGTAAGAGTTGAGATATGTCTCTCTTAACTAAATCGGTGGACCAATCGATGGAACAACATTTACAGCTGCAGTTTTGTGTTGTTGCATAGTTTATTAGGTGAAAGAAAGGAAAAATGATCCAACACTGTGTAAAAGGTGGAAATGCTTTGATTGACATTCATCCCTTCAAATCCATTGTGTGTGTGTGTGTTACAAGTAGTGGCGTATCCATTACCGAGCTTAATCCAAGGGAGAAGCACTGATTTACGTCACTTTAAAGGCACACACTTGGTAAAGCATAACCTTACACAAAACACATCTAACACTGTCGTCATTTATGTTCTTCTGAAATGTCTTATTTCCACTTGAGTTTTGTGGAGTTATGTGAGAACTCATCCAAGACGAAATAAGAATTGAGGGTCCCGAGACTCAAAATTCAGAGAATCTGTTGAGGCCACAACATTTTATGCTGTTACATCGAGGCTGCAAAACGGTTTCTGGCCTTTTTGAGTGCACAGCTAAACTATTTTGGTAGAGGCAAGGAAAAAACTAAAAACACAGTAGGCCAAACGGGGCAAGGTCCGATATTTTGGGGGGTGGATTTCTCGATCGGAGAGGACTAGATTAAGCCCATTATGATGGGATTGTGTCCGGACTTATATAAACAGACCTTTCGATTGGCAGCCAGGCCTCCTCAAGATGAGCTCTGGCTCATTGGATTACAGTTCATAGTGTTTAACAGCACCCACAGCTGCCAGCCAACGTATCCTGGCGGATTGACAGCAATCCCTTTTTTGAAGCAGGGTGAAGCTGCACAGCCAGTGAGGACTTTGGAGGATATTTTAGAATCCGCTCTCTCCTTTTGACTCTCTCTTCCGTTGTCTTATACTTTTCCAGGTGAACAGACTGGAACTTCGCTGCATGCAGGCTAAATGTGAGGCCGATCCTCGTTTGATCACCCTCCTACACACTCGTCTCATCGGGTGCAACCACGTCCCAGCTTGAAACTTGAAAGTGCTGGTGAGAAACAAAATGCTAAATGCTGGAATTTAAGCTAGGAACTAAAAAGCTAGATAAAAAGGGCCAGCCGGAATGTGCATCTGGTGGTGCTGCAAAAAGAACGAGCTACTTCTACCCCGAGCTATAGCTTTGTGATTATTTATTTTGGAGGGAATTAATTGGGGGGATGGTGCATCCAATTTTGGTACCATGCATCCAAATAAGCAGTAAGTAGCCTTGTGCAAAGTTCACTGTACGAAGATCCATATAGCTGCTCTAACTGTTGTATGCATATGGGATGGTTTGGATCCCTGGAGGGTGGGGGTTAGGGGTTGAGTTTACACACTCTCTACCAGGCTGCACAAAACAAACTCTCTCTGCTGGCCCTCTGCCCACAACCTCAGGGCTGGGTTTCTTTTTGCAAAACAACCAGAGAGCGAAGAGAAGGTTAACCCAAAGCGTGAAAGACTGAACAGTGGAGATGTTTCATATTCAAATATTTACTAAAATATGTGGAATGCTACGCTGTTTGTTTTTTACCCTCTTTTAACATAATTTCCTCCTCCTTCCAACTGGTGATACGTCTCCCTTCCTTTTGTTCCATCTTGTCTGCTAGTCGATGAACAACAGAAACCAATGAATTTAGGGGATTTTTCTCCCTGGCTCGGCCTGTTTGCAGCCTGCTAACTGGATCAAACATAACTCGGCTACTGGGTTTGTTGTCATGTGCGGGGCAGCGGGGGGAATGTAACTATAGTCTATTAAAGATACGCTCCAGCTGTTAGCGCAGTGCACGCTAAATTATGTTTCCAGTCTCTCGCGGTGCGCAGCTCCCACCCGATGAATTAATAAAAGGAGAAGAGGTGCCATGTGGACCAGAGGCTCCGTGGCCTGAACTTGTGTGTTGCTTTGTGCGTGCGCGCTTTCTTCGTGTGCGTTCTACGGACGCGTGTTTCTGCGTGTGTTTTTGTGAGAGGCTTTATGCCTTGTACCAAGCTATATTCTCATGCAATATGCATGTCACTGAGTGCTCCGAATGGAGTGGAAGGGAGTCTGTGGGGATGGGCTGCGAAGGAAAACCGGAGTAATGCTATGCAGGGCTGCATCTCCTGTGAAATGGTTTTACAGTTTGATTTAAGGAATGCACTGTAATTTTTTGTTGCGACCCCTGCAAGCGAATGAGAAAGTGCATGGATTTAAAATGAGCTGCATGCACCGATGCACACAGCGAACGCCGACATCTGAGATCAGGTCCGGCATATTTTTTCGGCGTAACATACATTTTTTTGTTTTTATTTACGTCTTGGAGGGAAAAGATGATTCACACCCCAAACAGATTTCAACAAAAAAACAAAAACTTTCATGAGCATGGACAAACACACAGTCGGCTACACACACGCGCTGCTGCCGGGCCAACAGGGGCAGCTGTGAGAATGGTGGCCTTCAGTATATTCAGAAAAAATAAGCATGAAAAAAACTGATGAAATTCCATATCGTGTTGGAAATCCAATGCGTTCCTACGTGGGATGGAAGCAGATGTGGCTGATGATGTGGTCCCACTGCTAAGAACACATCTCAGTGGCTCCGTTTCTCACTCAGATGGAAGAAGGATTGCGTTATGCCGTGTTTCTCTTTGCGGGCGTCTTTTTTCCGTCTACGCTTCCCTGTGTGATGCCGCTTTCTTCCTTTAGATTTGCTGACGGGGCACAAACGTTCCTGCTCTGTATAATGAGCAGATCTCAAAATTAACACGGAAAGTTGATGAGCAACGACGTCGCGGGACAAGTTTCAAAATGGGTCTTCAAATTTCAGCATCGGACCGACTCGTACTTCCATAACCGAGAGGAAAGATGATCGTTATCGGTCGGCTTCACATGCATCATGAAATGAATTTCAGTTCTAATGTGATTTCTCCACCAATAGCGTCGTACTCGAGCAGTCAACTGTATAAAGCGGCACAACTTGACTTCATGATTGCATGGCCTTTCTTCAGAGATGTACTTCTATCGCATCATCTGACTCTTGGAATCCAACACGCGTCCTTTGGGCGGTTAACCTTACTTTGGTTAGGAGGGAGAATCCATGAAAATACCAGAATTTGTGGGAATAAAATATTGTGATTGGATGTTTTCCATGTCAGATGATGCAGTCAGCATTCTATATTATATTATATATCAAATAGATACATTGTGAGACGCGCATGTGGTGAGTTAAACAGAAAGTAAAGCATACAATGGAGCAGGTGATCCTTCTTAATTGTCAATAGAAGTGTGTGATGATGACTGTTTCTGCAAAGACCTTCAGCCTGTATTGTTGCTTCTCGTCATAATTTGCTTTATTCAGGACGTTTTTACCGACAGATGTTTGCATATGAGATCGGGATTTTAATTAATCAAAACGAAGCAACCTATTTATATCCAGGTGCTGAATTGAATGGATATACATCCGGTCAAAAGTCATATATTGCTTTTTAAAATTTTCCCCCCAAATATGTTTACCATCAAAAAGTAAAAATAGTATTTTGAAAGTTTCCCAAGCTTTACTTAATGTGTAAAATTACTGGAAAAGGATTAGTAGTTTTGACACTTTCCTCAGCAGCAGGGAAGTTGCAACTCTGAATTGCACCACAAAAGACTCCTGACAATAACTAAACCTCAATTGAATTAACACGCTGTGTCTTACTCTCTCTCACTCTGGTTATAAAGTACCTGGAAACATTAGATTACTTTTGATCGCAACCATATAGTACAGCCGGAACTTCACGGGACAATTTCTGCACTAATCCCTACATCACAGCACGTATGAATCTCCGTAGGAGAGAAAATGAGCAACCTCTATTTTTTACTTTGCTCTTTTTCATTTTGGTTTCCCTTTACGTTGACCTTGAGCAAAATCTGTAACTTTCTCTTTCATTTGTCTTCTAACCTGCGTCAATTAATGCATAACTATAATGTGAGAGGCAGTCAAGTCATTTGGGAATTTGATATTGAGAGAGATGTGCGCTTGTGAGTGTGTGTCACCAATGTAGTCTGCGTGGTCACACGGAATAAGATAATCACCTTTCTCTAATGATGTGGCCGCTCATCGCCATGGGCAACCGCAGCCCGCGGCTCTCTGATGTTGATCATCACCAAATGCTCGATGTCGCGCACACACACAAACACATGGAGACGCTCACAGGCGTGACAGCCAATTAATGAGCGGGATGAGATCGAAGAGCACGGAGAACGGGAGATTCAGTATCACGACATTCCTCATTGTCAAAACTCTTAGCGCCACTTTGCTCCGATTTGCTTATTAGTGTCTAAATGTCCCTCTCTATCTTTCTCCCCGGGGTGTGCATGCAGGACTGTCTGACATCTGCAGTCCAAATTCTCATTTCTTTTTTTATTTCCTCCGCTAATTGGTACGAGATAAAGAAACGGGATGTTTGAATTCAGGCATGGTTTTGCCGCATTTGTGTTTCACACCAGAGAACACGTATGCAAACATAAGGGCAGCCTTTTGTGAATCTGTGAAACCCGCATTCATGATCAAACCCATTGTTTATCAGAGGAAAACCCGGGACTGCCTCAGGCCGACGCGTGTAAAAGATGCACTAGGTGTGGTTTTTTTTTATCCCTCGTGTTGGATTTAATCCTCATACAGGCTTTTCGGGCGCGTACAAATGTGACAAATGTGTGCAAAGGTTACGTGTACGCGGAGAATCGCAAAGCGGCTGTGACAGTGCTGGCAAAGCTCCACCTGATACAGGGTTCTGCATGCTCCGATAGTAAGGTGCATCCTCAGTCTATAGAAGCGGTGCACTAACCCATTATCCCACTCTGTGTGTGTGTGTGTGTGTGTGTGTGTGGGGGGGGCAAAATAACGTTTTCTCCCACCATCCTCACTTAAAGGTCACATTAAAGGAACACTTTTACGCTTTTACTCCACACGTGCACACACTCCGACTGCAAACTCCAGATGACTGTAGCAGAAAGCCGACTCCCCAAACGCAACACAGAGATTCGCAAGCAATCAATTTTGATGCTTGTTGTACTGTAATTAGACACGCAAACCTATGAGCATTATGGGAGCAGGGATATGCTAATTTTCCGCGGAGGCAGCCAGTCTATAACTATAGGTGCATCCGTTGGTTCTGCTGCTGCGCACACTGACGCGTTGGTGACAGCTTTAAGAAATGTAAACTCCTCGCTTGTATATTATTTACTCTCCCTTGAATGAAAAATATGGTGCAAATGTCAATAGTGGGAGATAGCACAGCAGGTACAAGACGAAGAGCTGGATGTGCTTCCTCTGTTTGATGCTTTCCTCCCTCCCTCTTACTCTCTGTCTCTCGCTGCCTCCTCCGGTAATTCTCGTCATGGTAATGGGGCTGTTTGATGGGGCCACTGTTTTTTTTTTGATGATGTCTCCTCTTCCATGAGCAGCATCTGACCACAAGTGCTGAGTATTGCTTTGAACGGGTGAATTTGAATCTCAATTAGCATTGTAGTGTAACGGTGTGAACACAAATGCACACACACACACACACACACGTACACGTGCGGGGATGCTCAAGAACATAAAAGCCTGCTCGTTTTGCACTCGCACAAATTACACTGTGAAAACACACACTTGCACACGTCCGCGCACACGCACTTGAGTGGTGAAGCTAATTTGCCCGAGCTGACCCGACTGAAAGGAATAATGAGGCTTTGATGACTTCACTCAAAGAGACCCGCTCCACCATGACATCATCCGTGACCTTGCTTCGACCCCTACACTTTGCTCTGATTCATTCGCCCCTCTCCTCCTGCGGAACTTTTTGATTGGCCGAATACCCCCGCGTCGGATGAAGTGACATGTGGAAAGTTGATGTCGGCGTACTTACTTAGCTGCATTTGGGTCAATTGATCTAAAGGGGCGCGCGTGTTTCAGCACTCGCGAGGCTTCATTGAAAATTTCAAGCGAACTCTAAAGGCCTGTTGAAAGACAGCTTTAACGATACACGCACTATAGATCTGTGCTCATGAAGGTGT